CCCCCCCCCCCCCCGAGGGGATGGCCACGCCGCAATCCCTTCTCCTCCATTATCCTCTCGGGATCTTGGGTATGCATGCACACGGTGTGTGTTTAAGCCACCGGGTCTGGGACTCGAACCACAGTCAACTACGTGGGAGTCCAGCGACATAGCCATTACACTAACTGCTGGTCCCAATACTGGGTTGTGTTCTGTTCCCTTATTGCTGACTGTCTGTCTTTACTTTCCTGAGTATAGTACTTCTTTGAGAATTTCTTGAAGAAGAGCTTATCTAGACTTGGTAAATTTTTTCAGGTTTTCTTTATCCAAGAACTTTTTTGTCTTCTTTTCCCATATGAAAAATAGTCTTGCCAGGTATAGTATTCTTGGTTGAAGTTGTTTTTCATTTAACACTTTGACTATATTTTCCCATTATTTCCTTGCTTGCAGTGTATCTGATGTTAGCCTGATGGGATAGACTTTGTAAGTGACTTGACGTTTATCTCTTGCCAATCTAGTATCTTGTATTTGCCTGTGGTTTTGGCCAATTTAGCTATGATGTGACATTGAGAGGATCTTCTTGGATTGATTCTACTTGGGGTTCTTTGTATTTCTTAGGTCTAGATATTTGAGTGCCTCCCTAGACTTTGAAAGTTTTCTTCCAGAATTTTGTGGACTAGATTGTCAGTGCCCTTATTGGCTTCTTCATCTTCTGGGATTCCAATTGTTTGGTTGTTTGGGCATTTCATTGTATCTAGTATTTTTCATATAGTATCCTCAGGTTTTTTTGGCTATTTTCTGTTTGTTTTTTAATTTTGTTTTTTTAGATCAGAAGTTATGTCTTCTACTACTGAGATTTGAGCTTCTGCATGGTCCTGTATTACAGCCTTCATATCTAACAGTTCCATTTGACTTTCTTTTATTGTGTCCAATTTTTCTTTCATATCCTGGAAGGACTTCCTCATCTCTTGGAGCTCAATCTCTCTTATTTTTTTTGTTGTATCTTATTGAATTTTGTTACCATAAATATTCTAAATTATTTTTCTGATATTTTGGTAATATCCTTTTAATTTTTTCTACTTGTAGACAAGTTGAAGTGTTCCTTTGCTGGAAATGTATTACTTGATTCTCTCATTCTGGAGGCTTTTCCTTGATTCTTAGTCATTTGGTAATGAGTTTTGTTTTGACTAATTTGTTGGAGAGGGATTCGAAATTATGGAACACTTCATGAATTTGCATATCATCCTCATGCAGAGACCATGCTAATCTTCTGTGTATCGTTTCAATTTTAGTATATGTGCTGCTGAAGTGAGCACATAAAATAAAATCATTCTTAAAAAAAATTATTATCAATAGATACCTTTTTCAAACAAAGAATCCTTAAGCACTTCTACTCTGAGGTCTCTGGTGGACTGACATTATGTAATACCTTACTATGGTCAGCACTTCATCCTGTGATATTTATGATTTAAAGGTCTCTTATATTATTGGATCAATGTGCACAATGTAATTTCTTTTTCCACCTATCTTAGTTATCACTTCATGCTGGAAATGTAAAGTTGTCATGAGCTCAAGTTGCAGAGGGACAAGGAATGTCTTGGCATAATAGAAATTATACACATTCTCCTTATCTCATTTTTTTCTTTCTACATTATTGAGATAGAATTGTATACTGTAATATACTATGAACTAAGGGCCAAATTGCACTCATTGCCATGTCAGTGATTAAGAATCATCTTTAAATCTCATTCATTTCATTGAGAAAATAACATCAAACCAACCCTGACTACCTAGCAATCAGGTAATAATGCAATAGATTAATAGAAAATGATATTATGACTTTGAAAAGAAAGATGACTTTAAAATTAAGTCTACACCTTAATTTTATCTATGCCATATAACTATGCCATGACTACCCCAACTGCAATCATGACTAGTTCTTTTTCTTCTTCATGCTATTTCCCTGGAAAAGATTTCCTGAGGGCTAGTTCCATAGCACAGTGGTTAAACGCTATGCATAGGGAGCTTAATCCCGAATGGCTGACTGTGGTTTGAATCTCAGCCATGGTGGCTTGAAAAATATATTGGAAGCATACTCACATGTGCTACAAATCCTGATGAGATGTAGAAATGGGGAAAAAACTATTTCAGCATGATCATGACTCACTGGAGGGTGCTTTCTTTTTCTCTTTATCTCTGGTGAGTGAATGCACCCTCTGGCTATTAAAAAAAGAAAGAGATTTCCCTGAACAATTTATCTAAATTAACCCACCCTCATTATGATTTATGGTGTTATCCTTTTCTCTTTTATATTACCATAATCTATAATGATCATTTTTACTTATTAATTTACCTGGTTAATGTCTGTATCTTTTAGCATGTTGCTTTGTTGCAATTATACAATAGACTGTACGATGGCATTGGATATATTTCTATGGCTAGTGGGGAAGTGAGGTTTAACTATATTTCCCAAAGGCAAGATAGACATTTCTAATGTGCCCCTTATGACACCTCTTCCACTCTATTATTTTTATCTTCTCCTCCACTAGAACTATTTTCTTTCTCTTTTTAGACACAAAAGTGACCACTGGGTAGCGGGAGAATAAATAATAAAGGTTTGGGGATGGACATGCTGTAGCAGTAAAACACAGTGCTATGTGAAGTTAACCTATATGAGAGGGTTTCGGGTACTCATTTGGAGACTGTGCACAAGAATGCCAGTGATCTTATGCATGTTCATACATGCATACATACCCAAACCAGGATACAAACCACAACTGACTCTGTGGGATCCAGCACCTTAACCGCCAGGCCACCTACTGGTCCCAAGCACCAGAATATTTTATAGTTGTAAATGGGATATGTAGTACTGTGAGAACAAATGGTTGACTGTTAAAAAACACATATGTTTGGAATATCTACACAAAAAATGAACATAATTCCTTTGAGAAAATAACTGAATTTATGTGTCCTGAGTCTTTGTTTGCCTAAGATGGATGAATTGATGAATTCCACATGTCCACCATTTCTCTCAGTATTCTACCCTATTCCTAAAAGATGTCTAGTAGGATGGGTTCCATTTGTGTTTTTTGAATTTAAGACTTGATTCAGAAGAGATTTTTGTCTCCTTCAGACATATCTCTTATTAAAATTCATAAAACACAAAAAGACTTATTTGCTTATCTTTGTGGCAATTTTACAGAAAATGGAGATGTAAATTGACTTATAATTGTGAAACTCATCTTCATCTCAGTGACTCAGCACCCATGCATACACTGCAGCAAATTGTGATGCAGTCTTCCAACCCTACCACTTCTTATCATGTATCAAGAAGCTAAATAACACTTTTTGATTACTCCAGAGCTGCTGCTGCTGCTGCTGCTTTCCAGCTCTTGTCTGTGGGTGTTCAGATGCCTAATAGTATTCCTCCAGGAGTTCAGCCATTAAAGATTCTCCTTTCTTCAGGAGTTTGCAGTCTTCATAAATTAAACAGGCCCAATTTGCTGCAGATCCTTCTTTTAGCTAATAGGTTCATCTACACTTCTTGTGTAAAATATTGCTCCAGCTAGTTCTTGCTTAAGCAGCTCCTCTAGAGCCCCAAGAGGTCTCTGATACAAATGCTGGCAATGGTAAATGAGAGGTTTGGATCATTTCTTTCTTTTGATATTTTGTGAAGATCATAAATGTAGAGAATATTTTTTTAAAGTATTATTTTTCCCTGAATCTGTTAGGGTAGCTTTGAAATGAGACTGCCTTGTAAGAAGAATCACTTTCAAGTGCTCTCTTTTTTCTTTCTTTCTTTCTTTCTTTCTTTCTTCCTTCCTTCCTTCCTTCCTTCCTTCCTTCCTTCCTTCCTTCCTTCCTTCCTTCCTTCCTTCCTTCCTTCCTTCCTTCCTTCCTTCCTTCCTTTCTTTCTTTCTTTCTTTCTTTCTTTCTCTTTCTTTCTTTTCTTTCTTTTGTTTTGTTTTGTTTTGTTTTTGCCCCAGGGACATGCACTTGCTGGAGAGACAGGGAGAGAGGCAGAGTGAGAGAAAGTGAGAAATCATCTCCCATGGGAGATGGTCACACTGCAGTCCCTTCTCTTCCATTCTCATCTCAGTATTTGGGGCATGCATACACACATGCCTGGCATGATTTTCAAGCCACAAGGTCCTGGATTCAAATCTTGATCTGCCATGTGGCAATCCAGCACCTTCACCACCATGCCGTCTGCTGGCTCCTCAAATAATTTTCTAATGATATGATTTCTCTTTATCCGGTATAACTGATTAAAACAACTTCCTTATTTCTGTCTACTTTAGTTCATCATGTTACCCTGTCTCTGAGTTTTTTGAAGGAAAAGGGAAAGGGAGAACTTGTTGGGGAGAATAGGTCATATGTCTGAATGGACTGTAATATATAAAGTAAGCGGCATAACGTTTTTAAAATCCATACATTAATCCATTAGAAGGAGACTTGAGGAAGAGAAAATAACTGAAATGGATTGTGACAACAAGATGTATGGGGACAGAGGAGAAGAAGAGAAATGAGAAAACTTGGACAATGTAACTCCAGAGAAATTTGTCATTGCAAAGATGTCACCTTTCAAAAAATAAAACTGTCGGGACCAGCAGATCATGTAATAGTTACCTTGCAGGACTCACATATAGTTAACCGAGGTTTGAGTCCCGGAACTGGCAGCTTAAAACTCACCCCAGGCATGATTTACATATGCCCTCCCAAGACCCCAAGAGGAGAATGGAGGAGAAGGAATTGTGGCATGGCTATCCCTCCTGGGAGATGATTTCTTGCTTTCTGCCTCTTTGTCTCTCCTGCTAGTGCACATGCCCTATAGCAAAACTATAAATAAATAAATATATAAAACTGCTAAAGGACTCTGACTTAATAATTAAGATAAAATTTTGACTCTTACTTTTAATTGACAAACAATAATTCTATATATGAAATAAATAAATATTTAGAGCAATCCTTATTCTCCCTCAACAACAGTAGCAACAACAACAACAACAAGATGAAAATATAGGTTTTGAAGTCAGGAAGAGATGGCTATGAGAACTCGTCCTGGTGCATTATCCATGTGACCTTTCGTATCTGTCTGCACTTCTTCTGTGAAATGGGCATGCTAATCATAGTATTATTCACAAGGTCATTGTAAGGGTAGAGTTTATTTTATTTATTTATTTATTTTTTGGAGAGGTTTTTTCTTATTGGGCACATGTGTTCACCAGAAAGACAGAGAGAGACAGAAAGTGAGAAATCACCCCCCAGGGGGGATGGCCATGCCACAATCCCTTGTCTTCCATTCTCCTCTCAGGATCTTGAGCACGCACACACACACGCCCAGCATGAGTCTAAGCCACTGGGTCCGGGAGTTGAACCGCGGTCCACTACATAGGAGTCCAGCGACATAGCCATTACGCTAACTGCTGGTCCCAAGGGAAAAGTTTATTAATGAATGTAAAACATGTGGCACAGTACCTGGCATATAAGAAGCTCTCATTAAAAGATGGCTGTTATGTTACTATGATTATAAACAGGCTATTTAAATAGGATTAATATACACGTATATTTTTCAGATAAGTAGTTCTTAACATATCCGTCACTTACATACCTGTGAAATTTTGGAAAAATTAGTGAAAATTTCTGCATCTTAGTTTCATCAAATAGCAAATGGACATAAAGATACTACCTACCATGTACAGTTTTAGGATTAAATGGCATAAGGCTGGTAAAATTCTAATTAAAGGCCTGGTACCATAGTTGATGCTGAATAAATGTTAATGGTTATTTTTGTTACTCAGTTGACCTCTGAAATTACTAGACTATGATTTTATAATAAAGATCTTGGGAACCAGCAGTTAGCATAATGGCTATGTCGCTGGACTCGCACGTAGTCGACAGCGGTTCGCGTCCCGCACCTGGTGGCTTAAAACTCACGCGCGTGTGTGTGCGTGCCCAAGATCCCGAGAGGAGAATGGAGGAGAAGGGATTGCGGCATGACCATCCCCCATGAGGGGTGATTTCTTGCTTTCTGTCTCTATGTCTCTCTCTGTCTGCCTGGCGAGCGCACGTGCCCTATAGTGAAAACCTCTCCAAAAAAAAATAATAATAATAATAAATGTGTGCTTTAGTAAGCTATTAATATATTTAAAACTTTTATGCAATGATAACTAAAACACTGAGAAAGGGAAGAATGGTGTCAAAACATGTTGTAGAAATGAAAATCAGTTATTATATATTGAATATATCAGTTTTGAGCTGTATTTTGTATGTATGGGTGGTGGTGCTGGTTATGTAAATCTTAATTTCAGAAAAG